GGTACATACATAATTTATCACTATATACTATCCCCCCTCAACTCTCGAGAAAAAACCTGTTTGTTTTGCATAGAATAAAAAACACAATCAACAAGGTTAGTAAAGCACTTTCTGATTTTTTTTCTAAATAAGCTAGCTGCCTAACGTTTGTGTACTTGTAAACAACTAATGACAATTGGTCACTTTTCAACTATCTGTTTAATTAACCAAATCAGGCATTCCAAAGTGGGTCTTAATGTAAAATGTGATCGACGAACCAAATATTTGACTGTAAGGTATCTCACGTATATTGATACACTTAGTTATGAAAAGCAAACAAGAAATCCACAGTTGATTTAACTCAAAACTAAACAAAAACATTTATAGATCGAAATGAATATATTTCAGCAATATTAAATCTGTCTTGACTGTAACAAAAGACGTTTTTCAAAAATACTCAGGATCTGTTAGAGTGACTCAAACTACCTTTATCCCGCAACACTCATTCTACAGATCGTTTGTGAAATGTTAAAGAAAATCTTATACCTGTTTAATATCTAAACGAGACTTTTATAAAAAGTTCAAACACTTTAGGTCAAAACTATCAGCATAAATCTTGCCTTATGAAAAAATTTAGTATGTCTGTAGTGTGTGCTACTTATGTAGTATAAGTAGTATGTAACACCAATCGGAAATGAAAACCCTGCCAGTAGAAGGCTAAGAAGATCAAGTAGAAGAGAATAGAAACGAAAATAGAAAGGAGTCACGAATAGGAAGAATCATACAGAATGTAAAGGACGAATGACTGAAATTTGCAAATGAAGTATTTAATTTATGGTTCTCATATTTTACTAAAACTTTCTGTAATCCCGTATTAAAACATATATTGACAGATAATTCCTATTTAAACATTAAAAATTCGAAACACGAAGTTCATCTAAGGGATCTCTTTTCAACGAATTTATTATCATGCTGTAAATTTTTTATTGTTGTAACAAAAACATTTTAATCATCTTATTACATTCACTAAATCTATTGTTATTATTCGTATTACGTAATCTAGTATTATAATTCCCTATCACGTCATCTTAGTTACTCGTGTTCACATTTCGTCAAGAAATAAGTACTTTAACAACAACGAAATTTTCATATATATACGATTGTACAGCTTGATAATAAATTCGTTGAAAAGAAATCCCTTAGCTGAACTTAGTGTTTTTAAAATACTTATGTTGTCCCCACTTGTGTGTTCGTTCATTACATATCTAATACAACTGTGACCTCAATATCAAAGAAGCTGGAAATTCTCAGTAGAAACTTACCTACAGATACGATTGTCCGGTTTAAGTAAACAATATCTTCGTAAAAAAAACAGGAACTTTTCTTCACCGAATCATCTTTATTCTTCTTGAAACAAAATCCTTTGAGGCTCTTAGCAATGGAATATCATTTCTTATATTACAAATATTAAAATTATACTTAGATTTGTTATTCTGCTACGACAAAGTCATTAAATTTGGCTAAATGCATTTTAAACAAATTAAAGTTGCTCTTTTCCAGAATAGTGAATGAAATTAATATTTTTGATTGTTTTGTTGTTGTTTTTAGTAAGTAGCCACCGTTTGATCAGGGAATGATTCTAATCTGGTTTTTGGTACTATATTCATAAAGAATCATGATTTTTTTTCCCCATGAAGTTACCATTTGAATTTTAATTAAACATTTTTTAAGTTAAATATAATAATGATTTTTCTTGGAAAATACAAAACAGAACTGATTAAAAGACTATTGTGAAGATACCAACTTCAAATGAAATCATTATTAACACTTTGAAATTCTTTTTTTTATTTTTATAAAAAGAAAACACACTTGACAAAGACATTTTTCTATCACAAATACTACTTATCATCAACCTTGTTATTTTAACCAACAACAAAAAACTAGTTATCTACTTAACTTTTAATTGTTTTGTTTAAGTTATATATTTATTATAACTAAGTAAAATGATAAATGATAAATTGAAGAGTATTTCTTTTTATATGTATATGAAAGTTTATAAGTACTGGATATCTTTTTTGTGGTAGTGGTGGTGGTGTTGGAGGGGGAGAAAGGTTTCAAGTGTGAACACAAATTTTCCACTTATACATGTCAATTTAATCAGTGTTAATTATTTGTTTATAATTTTTCTTTAAATGTAATAGTTTATTAAACTACTATTAAATAACCTTTTACTGATATATTTTCTTTCTAAATAATTGGAAAAAAATTTGAAATTTACTAATTTTATTACAACGATAATCAGAACTCAGTTGCTGAATGGTATTGAGTTTGAGTCCCAGAGTGAATATCAACTCTGTGATGGAGATACATTTAGCTGACGAGTCGCAAATAGGAAGAATTGCGCGTCCTGAATTCCACTGCTCGCCACTGTCCATCTTTGCATATAATGCTTGTGAATTAAGGCGATATCGAGGCAACATGCACAGTATACATATATGCAGGCCCCCAAACGCCCTGATACGGTCAAGAGTGGGGAGAGTTAGCTCTCCCTCTCAAAATGCTCTCACATGGCCACACGCATACAACCACTACCAGAGAAGTCCTACTCACTGCCTTCTCGTGGCAAGGGTGTTGCTTACAAAAGTGAGAGAACGTAAAATGAATGTCCGGCGCTTTAACGGGGCCAGTGGACATGGAGAGTCCACCTAGGAGAGTTCGAAAACCCTCATTCCAAACCAATCGCTCACATGGGTTCCAATATCCTGAAGGAACGAATAGCGTATGGTCACCGGTTACCATGGAATTGCACCTCTTGACGTTGCTCCACTGCTTTGTGGATCAGACCTTCAGGTCGAAGGCTTCGGGTGTAGCTCCCTAAGAAAACCGCCTGCTCCGGTTCGGGTACCTGGTCAGTATCCCAGCCCCTCACACAAACTGAATTATTTGTGTGGCACATATCTATTTGGTGCCTCCTTGTACTAATGATTATATGTTTAAGTAATAAATAATGCACATATGCCAATAGGAGATTGATCAATTGTAGTCCTAAACATCAATGAGAAAATTCAAGTAAACAATACCAAATGATAATCAGAAAACTTAAAGGAAATGTTCTCATATCTTCCTTTACATGACTAGAATGTTATACACAAGATTGTTTTTTATAATTTATTGGCAAATATTCATTTGAATTCCTTTTCTGTTTCTGTTTTTCTTTTTTTTGTTCCTAAAAATAAAAATAAATGTGCTCTTTCTATCGGTTCAGTATGGTAAAAGTTAAATAGTTTGTTGCTATGCATTATTTATTTATTTATTTATTTAATGAAATAATGATTGGTTAGTGATAAAATCTAAAAAGGAAATTCCATAAAATTGTACAGATGTATTTCGGAATACTATTTTCTGGAGGAATTTCAGTCTAAATAGATTATCATCTAGACTAATTTTAACTGGATTACTTATGTCTATAATTATTCAACTAGATGACATGTTTTACCTTTTTCTAAAATTGATATTAGTTCTTTCATATATATGGAACTGCATTTTGCTTTTTATCGTTAATAAAGACAAAATATTGATCGAGGCCTTTTTTCTCATTATATTAAATTAACCAAATGAAGTAAATTATGCTTCAATGTTGAATTACTTAACTTGAAATATATTCTGAGTCAGAGACAAGACAGGATAGCATGATTCACTATCCAACGTCATTTATTATCAATCAAGTTATAATTTATTTCAATGACATCTTGAATCCACAATGTTTATTGTTAAAAAGTACTTCCTAGGAGACACACTAACAATTGCGATACAAATAGATATCATTTATTCTGGGAAGACTATAATCAAAGAAGCGTGAAATGAAAGATGCTACTTGTATATCGGTTATTTAATTATAAGTGGCAAATATCTGTTTTTCAAATTCACTCTGAGTCAAATTTTCACTTTAGATTTAGGAGGAACAAGACATTTTACAACCTACTAAGAGTTTCACTGATAGTTTGTAATATTTTAGTTTCTGACAATGATTATTAAGTTTTGTGAATGTTGGAATTGATGCACACGAAATGTTTACAACTCTAAGGATTTCACTTGGCGTTGAAGGTTTAGACATAGTGTACAAGTCAAAAGCACTATTTAAAATTAAATTTTAGCATTAAAACACTAATACCAGTGATCTCTGGAAGTTTTGAAATTGTCACTAGTTTTCATATACAATTCATTTAAACAGAAAGAAAATCATTGAATAGATTTAATTTATTATCTTTTTAATATCATAAAATTTAAACACCAGTCGGGACAATCATTCATATTATAGTTAAAAATGTCAAAAGTATCTAGTAAATGTCATCAATACACCATCACTTACTAATCCAAATCAAATTTAATAACAGACAAACAAAATTGTCACTGGTAAACTAGTTAATATATCTGATTATGTAATTTAGTTAGAAACCTATACAGCAAAATATTAGAGATTTGAAAATAACGTAGAACAGACTCAAAAATAACTCAATACAATAAATATATATTTTAACTTTGATTGATAAAAATTGATTACAGATGAAGAAAGTAAATGGAATAAAGGTGGTCATTATTTATTCAATGAATTCCATACTACTCAATAATGAAGAAGTCAGTAGTATAACTGATTGGCACCATTATTGGTTAACAGTATCATACATTAATTCAATACATTCTAGTTCTAAATGATTTTCTGGTTGACATTAGTCTATGCTAAGAAAAATAGTAAAAAGTGTTAATCACTTTTCACATAGCCAATCCCTTACTTTAAAAATATTCATTATGATGATAACTTGTTTGTTATAGTAGTTATTCTGTTCTAAGTGAAACTCTAAATTATTAGTTCCCTTTTTTCGTTAAATCTTGTTTTATCGAACAAACGAACTACATTTCAGCAAGAAAAAATTAAATAACTTTAAGTTAAAATGTGTTTCCAGTTATTAATGCGCTTGATGTGTTTTTTTTTTCATTTTTATGTACAATCTTATTTCCTGTAGTTAAAAACTCTTCGGAGATTACGAGTTGCCGATACATTATGGTCAGGATCGATGGCTGACAATTTTCGACCAACTCAAGCTATTAATAACCGTTCAGTTCGGACGAATATCAATTTTCGTAGTTCGGTAGGAATGTAGTCGTTTGATAATGTTTTATTATCTGAATAATTAATTCAAATAATAGCAACGAATTGTAATGCTTCTCTTCGACTAAAATCTCTTTAAGCTTAAAATGAGGGCCCAAAATCATAGTTTTTCAGTTTAATATGGCACTATAAATAGTTGTGAACCCACTACATAAAATAATATTCCCCATCCAATGTGGAATATGTTCAACCATACTATGTAAGATTCTTACTTTGGATCCATTAAAGCTGTAGTCATGTTTTCTAGAATTGTCAAACCTTTCAGAAAACATTCTCAAATGCATTTAAGTCTTTTAGTTTAGTTAATAAACTTCTGGAACTAATCCATATCATTCGTATCGTTTCTTATCAAGCCCAATCATTAAATTAGGATTATTACAATACTACAATAACCCTGCACCTGACCAATACAAAATAAGTAGAATAATTAATGCGAACATCGATAATGTTATCTCTGAATATATCTGAATTGCAATAAGTGATTAATAACTTTTAGCTGTATTCATCTAGTGAAATAAATGTAATCATAAATGCTTTCTAATTACCGTTAGTTATAAGTACTATTACACAGGGTTGGAAGTTTTCAGGCGATGATATAGATAGTACAATACGTTTTGATCATTAAACAACAATAGTTTAGCATTTTTTGATAAACAATATACGTAACCTCAAATCCAATGAATTAAAGTTTAGAATTTATATGGACCAAATATTTTAAATGGATTTACAATTTGTAGTAATTCATAGATAATTAATTGTTTTAAGGTGATTTCTTGGAATATACACCAGATAGTTCTTAGATGAAGATGAAAACCAAATACTTATTATTTCTTAAGTCAAAATTACTATAAAAATGATAAGACAAAGGTCATTAAGTAATAGTTCCAAGTTTTATCAAAAGACTATGAAGTAGATTGACACATGGTTTCTTGCTTCTACTAAGCAATTAAAAGTGAATCCAGAAAAAAATGTTTTAAGTAGGAAATATCTTATTTGTGCGCATACAACACATTTTAGATTCATCTTAAAGAGTGTCATTAATCATTAAATTATTTCCTAACTCAACTATATACAACAGCACTGCAAATATCTGCTATAATCTGATGTCCATCTTCAATTCTGTCAACTGTTTCTTGGAAATTTATCGTACTCCTCTAACATTACAATAACACATTTACCTTTTAAATTGATAAATTAATTACATGTTAATGACTTAAAAAGGAATTTATTCATTTACCTTATACAAAATTTTAATAAATCTCTTGCAATGAAATACTTACTTCTTAACAAACATTTTGACTCCTTATCCATTCTTTTTTAAAATGTGTTGCCAACCCAACAAATTTTTCCTCATATCTCATACATTTAAAGTTTGTGTTTCATTTATTTCTAATCTGTTTTGACTAGATCATATCATTTTTGTTTCTTAGAATTTCAAATACCTGCTTTAATTTAATTTTGTCTTGACGACAAGAAAATAATAATGAATCCATTTCAATATGTTTACTTCATTGTCTACATTTCTCTAAACATATTCAATTTGTTATTGATCAATTCTATTTAGTCTATAAATTGCCAAATCACCTAGATGTTTTAAATAACTAGTAATTCCAAGGAAAATTTTTTTGAAAATAGATTAGCTTAAATTCACTTAATATTGTTTACTTAAATCTTTCCATTGATGTTTAGGACTACAATTGATCGGTCTTCTATTGGCATATGTGCATACTGTGTTAAATGCCTCGATATTGCTTTAATTCACAAGCATCCTAAGCAAAGATGGATAGCGGTTAACAGTAGAATCCAGGATTTGGGTTTCGTCCTATTTGAGACTCGTCAGCACTCCACGTTTAAGCGCCATCACACTTTCTGATTACTATTACTATGAGGAATGGAGTTTTCCGGGCTTCTGAGGTGATATATGTGAGCAAACTAGAATTCCTATTTCTTTATACAAGCAGTATATCTAAGCAAAGATGGATAGTGGCTGGCAGTGGAATCCAGCTAGATGTACCTGCTGACGAGTCTCAAATAGGACGAAACGCGCGTCTTGGATTCCGCCGCTAGCCATTATGCTCATAATTTAAAAGCATTCTTCAGCATACTGTGGTCTGGAAAAAAACCGTTGTCTACAATATAATGAGAGCTACAACTACTACCCAATATTTCTAAATCAGCTCTACATACTACTTCAGTTTCTCTAAGATGCAAAGCGCAACGCTTTTTGTCCAGAATGATGAAACAATGTTTCCATAACAAAATGATTTCTTAAATATACACTCGTTATAAAATTCATCTGTAATGGTGAATTTGCAGACACTACTGAGAGAAGCACACTGAAACTCCATATTTACAGGACCTATCTTTTAGCTGTTCCCCGTCCATTAATATTATGTAATGAATAATCTATTCAATTATCATTCTCTTAACTTGTATTTATCTTATTTTAATTATTTACGTTAATTTCTCCATTTACTTATTAATGGTAGAATGAAGCGTGTGATGTGCGTAAACAAGTTTCATATATTGGTAAGCTATAGTTATCCTGGAATTTAGCATATCATATATATATATATATACGATTTATATTCTTCGATTAACAAAAATAAAGTTTAGTCAACATGGGGTTGTAGAGATTGTCGAATTTCATTGAAAACAGAAACCGATCTATGTTAGACAGCCACTGAAAACCTGGAAATACTGAACGGATGTTTCATTCTCCTTAGCACTGCAACTCTACAAACTCGCAACCGAAAATTGAACCCAGGACTTTAAGTCTCATACGTGAACGCTTAAGCTCTTGATCACTGGGCCGGGATTCAATAATATGTAAGTTTAACTTTGATCAACCCACAACATCGAGTAATAGCTCTTAACACTGTAACAAGAGTACAGTTCATGAGTTTAGTCAACATGAAGCAAGTAATAATTCTTCGTTCAATAAAACCATTTTAAGCTGATGAGCTGTTCTAACTACCACAATGTTCAGTTGGAAGAATACAAGGAGCAAACAGAACAAGATATAGCTACAGGTCATGGATTCATTGACTGCTAACCTGAGCCACGTTGAGAAGGACAGATTTCCTAGTTTACATCTCCACAATAATCGTAGTATATGGTTCAGAACCTTATATGAAGTGGCCAAACAATTTTACTCCTCAATCTCGAATATTCATTCTGAACCATATTTTTCACGTTTAGCTTTCCACTGCATTGCATATGAATACCGACTTGATGCTTCTGAATTTATTTATCTCCATTTTTGTTGTTTTATCGAAAAGTATGATGACTTAGGAAAATTCGTATTCATCCTTGGTCAAACATTGCCCCATTATGGGTTGACTACACAATAGATGAGGATAACTTCTGTTAGCGGGGTATAGCTTTGATTAAAGCATGTTCTGTGAAGGATTGTGTTGGAGAACATTGATTAGCCATTTCTAAGACAATCGAAGCAGCAGATACTTGGAGAAAGATCCAGAATCTTCTCGTGTCAAGTTATTAATATACTAACGTCTTCCCTAATGTGACTCGTACTCCCATTCAGCATTGTTTATGTGGAAGATAATTGCGTTTCTGTTCAACCGTATTCAGATTTGGGGACATGTCGAGTGAAGCGGTGTCCAAAGAATTCTAAGCGATTATAACAACTCCAGTTTATAGAAAATCCAATATCATGACAGAACATTATATATATATATATATATATATATATATATATATATATATATATATATATATATATATATATATATATGATGGAGAATATTTTAGCTCAAATAGATGCTTTTGATGCCCTTAAGTTTTTTGAATTGAATGGTTTAAATGCTGACAACATTATCAGTGAAAGGAGGAGGATAAACAGCCTTGTGTGACATCGGTCCTCACTTGGAATGCATCTGTTAGCTGTCCTCCATACACCACTTTGGATTGTGGCCCATCGTATGAATTTGGGATAATGTTGACGGTCTTCTCAGGTACTCCATAGTGTCGAAGAAGTTTCCTTAATGTTTTCCTATCCACACTATCAAATGCCTTCTCCTAGGCAATGAAGTTGATGTATAGTGACGAGTTCCACTCAACTGATTGTTCAAAAATGATCCGTAGCGTCGCGGTTTGGTCTGTGCACGACCGACCCCTACGGAATCCAACCTATTGATCTCGAAGTTGGGAGTCTACTGAGTCTTTCATCCGGTTGAGCAACACTGTTGAAAACTTTTCCTGGTACTGACAGTAGTGTGATGTCTGTGTAGTTCTCACATTTTATCAGATCTCCTTTCTTTGGTAACTTGATGAGGTGTTCTCTCAAATTCATCTGCACTTTTACTTCCTCCCAAATCTTCCTGAATAGAACGTGGAGCATGTTTGCAGTTACTTTTATGTATGACTACAGTGGTTTATGTGATATATTGTCGGGTCCTGTTGTTTTACCACTCTTTATTTGTCTAATGACCATCTTGATTTCGTCGATGGGATGACATTTATAGGAAGGTATGTGTGTGTGTTACTTCGATGTCCGGTGGATTCAATGGATATGGTCTACTCTAAAGTTCCTAGATGCATTCTACCCAGCCGTTCCTCTGTCCTCGAATCTCAGTGACTGTTTTGCCTTATTTGTCCTTGACTGGTCGTTCTGGCTTGCTATATTTTTCTGCTAGTTTCTTTGTCATACCATATAATTGTTTCATATTTTCTTCTCTTGCAACTTATTCCGCTGTTATCGCTAGGTCTTTCACACATTTCCGCTGGTCGGCTCTAATGCTCTTTTTCACTTGTTTGTTTGCTTCTGTGTATTCAGCTTGTGCCTTGACTTTATCTGTTTTTGTTCGACTGTTGTTAATTGCGGTCTTCTTGATCCTGCCAAGTATTTCAACAGATACATTCTGCATGGTGTTTCTTGAGGCCCAGAACCTCCTGAAACGTTGAAGTCTGTGCTTCTTTGATAGCTTTCCAGTTGTTCGCCATAGTAGCTTGCTCTTTTTTGAGTAGATCTTGTAAGGCTTGAAACCTGTTGCTGGGATCTATCATGAATTCGTTGAATTTTTCAGTATCTTCGAGGTAGGCTGTATTAAACCTTTGTAGTAATGTTTATTCAGTTGTCTAGCAATTCTTTAGCTTTAGTTTCATCTTGACAACCGATAGGTAGTGATCCATCTCAGCTCTTCTTCTAGTTCTCATGTTTTCCATTGATCTGAATTTTTCAGTGATGCAGATATGGTAGATCTGGTTTTCTGTAATATGATCCGATGAGACCTATGTAGCTTTGTGTATGCGTTTGTGGGGGGAATAACCACTTTCTTGGATGCATGTAGAGTTGCAAATCTGTAGCCATTCTCGTTCCTTTCTCACAGTCCATCCATGTCGTTCCGTGATATCTTCATATCCGGTGTTGTCCATCCCGACTTTGGCGTTCAGATTTCCCTTCAGGATTGTCGGGTCCTTTCCTGGGCATCTCGCTATGGTCGATTGCAGCTTTTCATAGAACTGATCTTTATCGCCGGTATTGCTATCATTGGCGGGTACATAACATTGGATAACATTCATTGTTTCCCTCCTTCTTTGCTTTGAAAGATGCTTCGAGGATCCTGAAATGATAAGATTCCCATTCTATAAATGTTTTTCATCATTCTTTAGACAGCATCGCTGCAGCGTCCTGTGTGTGAGTAGCATTTTCTTCTTCACGACCAGAGTACAACAGAATATCTACCAAATCTAACCTTTTCTTTCCAACTTGGGTTCAATGGGTTTCACTGTTTCCTAGAACCGTCAAGTTGTATCTCATTTCCGTAGCTATTTGATTAGTCCTCCCGGTCTCCCACATTGTTCGAAAGTTAGTTGGTCGTTAGAAGCATCGGCCTCGTGATTTCCGAAGAATCTCGGCTTTCACCATGAGTGGTCGCAACTCTTCTAAATGAAGACTTTTCTATTCCCAGGGCAGAGTTTGGATGACTTTTCTGGTTAGCGTTTTTTTAGCATGGGATGGGGTTACCGACCCCATTATCAACTCTCCTCCTTAATACAGGCTTCGGACCGGCAGTAATCCTGGGAGAGCTATAGGCGGAGTTCAGAAAACTTAACATGTATATATATGCAGAAAAATACATAATTTTACCTCGCCATTCGGATAACTGATAAATGTTGCTAGTCCTAACAACAATGAAAAGTTAGAAGAATGTAAGTACAAGTTATTTATATAAATTCACTTTCAATAAAATGTCTTCTCATCAGTCAAAAGCTTTATTATGATGATTCACAATGAATAATTTTCAAATCAACAAACTTCTGTTTTTCATAAAAGAAAATTTTTCAGAACTTAGAATATCACTGGAAAATTGCATAGCTGATTCATATGATCACTTTCATCGGTAAATTTCTTGTCTATCACTAGTTAAACAACAAAATAAATATAGATCTCGAATCTACCCAGTACTAAGTTAATTACTAATAATAACAATTATTTTCAGTTACTTAATGACAAAATATTACATAAACCATAGATTGTGCATTTATTTCTATTTAGCCTGTGTTTATTTCAGCTAATGTTGCACAAGTTTGAAGAAATGGAATTCTGTAAAACGATATTTGAACAAAATCAAACTGGATCGCTCCTTTCTCCTGTTTTGTTTTGCCTTCCATGAGAAATAATCAGGGAAAACCCATCAAATATGAAAGACGATACTTTTGTTTGTTTGTTTTCTTTAATAGACTTTAAACTAGAACTCGAATATATTTCCATTTGTATTATAATTGCTTAATAACTCTAATAGATTTTCCTTTTTCTATACAGAAGAACATTTTATCACCATTAATATTGTGCATATTTATAACTTATTAATTAAGAGTATTGAACATAGCAATATATACACTATTAAAAGTGGTAATGTATCCTTGTTTTCTTCCTATGTTTACTATTTTCCATTGACAATAAATATGTTTCTGGATTAGATCTTCTAATAGAGATACACGCATTTATATATATATATATATATATATATATATATATATATATATATATATATATATATGGAATTACGTCAGGTGTAGATGTAGAACCTCATTGATAATCGTAACCCACGATTGAGCCAAAATCGGTCTCAGTGGCACAGTCTTATTTATATTTTATAGCCCTGACTACATTCAGCTTAGATTTATTGCATACTTTTCATTTTTAGGAATCATTTGTAAAATAATAATTAACTCTGTAGAAACGTTATTTTGTATACACGCTTAACTTAATCCTTTGATGTTTTTGTTTGTCAGTCTGCCTATCGGTTGATTTTCTTATTGCTTTCTTATGTCTGATTTACACTTTTAGATATATAGGTAGACCAAAACGCACTGTTCCATAAACCTTAGCATTTAACTCTTGATTCTACGTTGTCTGAAGAATGGTAGATGAGCAATTTGAGTCATAAAACATCCCAAAATGATAATAAACTGTGTTTTTGAAGTTATTTTAACGGCACTATAGCAAACAAATTGGCTGGCGAGTCAGAGTTCAGTTAGCACAGAGATCTAATGTTTTAATTTCAAATTAACTGAATTTTCGCCCAAAGACCTGTGGAATTGTCATGCTTTTTGCTTTCATTACTTATGTTTGTATTTCTAGACAGTCTAGGACCTTATCATATTTTATATCGTCCACTTTGACTGAAGTACTGTTACTGTTTTCCTGCATTATCGCTGACAAATTATCTATCCATACTGTTTTCAACACCAACCTTATAATGATTTCCCGGAATACATGTTTATGAACTACAGCCAGGTAAACATGAGATAGTGCTAGATTAGTATTTATAAACAGGTAAAGAATCTCTCTCAAAATATTCATCTTATTTTTTAACATTTTTGTATTCCACATGACTCTTGGAAATCAATAAAAGTATGTAGGGACGAAATGTATTTGAAAAATCATTTGATGTATGGAATACGCACATTTCCTTATCTAAGAGTTATAAAACAAATGTGTTTTGGTATGAAAAACCAAGTTTCATTCTACACAACTAGAATACATGAATACAAGATACTTTCAAGTAAAAATAGCAACATCTAACTACGGTGGTCAGTAAACTAATTAGATTATTTTTATTATCACTTACCAACAAGTCACATTAAAATGTTTCTCTAGAATAAACAATTTAAAAAATATATAAATCAAGCATAAACTGTCACATTTTCAGAACCTATTGTCTCAACAAGGTTAGTTTATTTTGCTGGTGAAATTATTCTAACTGAAAGAGCTCCTCTCCCTCACATCTTTCTCCCTGCAGTTTCCAGCATTCAAACTTGGCAGAATAACCACTGAAAACCAGTGTGACCTGCAATCACGGGGTCCATAAATTGTACCATCCCTCAGGTTCCTGAATAGAATCCAAAATTTTATGTGTGGGTCTCACCCAAGAAACCTCTATTAAATCTTAACGGTCAAAATATCTTTAACTGATTAATAAAACTGTAAAATCCGGCGACAATGGTCAGAAATATTTATAAACTAAAAATTGCTGAAAACTTCATTCGACAGCTTGTGTTAATGAATAAATTATTGTGGTATTTAATTAGAGATAAATTATAAATCCACTGCAGATAATGCTGGCTAAAATTTTATCGAAGTTTGATCTCAGCTAACTCAACGAATTGTTGTACCACCACTACTAGCTGCAGTGATTACAACATGGATTAAAAAGGTCACTGTTGTGTCGAAATTACTATTAGAACTATAAACAAGAATTCACATAATATTGAACGAATGTAAGATAGATTAAAACACCATTTACGACTCCAAATGAATAACTTCAAGGAATCATAAACATGACTATTATTTAAAATGGTTACATTGCCAATAGGATCTACGTAAAATATCCATATACCACAGATCTCAAACTATTATCTAAATTCACAAATAAACACATTACTTTCGCCGATGTTCCAATCAGATAGAGCCAGACATGTGTGATATGCTTTTACATCTCAAATGAAATATCTTACTAACCCGGTATCAATTGGCTGTTAAGGAGTTTGACTCAGCTTTAACTAAGGCTAGTTTATTTCACTTTACCAGATATTTGAAGGACTTTCATTAAACATCAAATGAGAACTAGAAACTGATAAGCTTTATAAAACATTTTATAACTTGCAAACACACGATCGATTTCACAAACAATATGTACTAAGTACAAATATATAACATCACCGGTCCTATAACCACTTCCATATCACTCTGCTTTAGACTAAGAAAAAAAGCAGATGATAGTGTGGTGTATGCTACTTATGCCGACAGATATAAGTAGTATGTAGCCGCAATCGGAAGTGAAATGCCTGGTAGCAGAAGGTAAAATTAAAGAGAACAGAAAGGAAATCGAAGAGCAATAAAAATAACAACAGAATCAGGGGAATAATTGAACAGGTAAAGGACAACGCAAAGATGTGTCAAGGATGAATTTAATGTATGGTTTTCATATTTTACTAAGCCACTGTATAAGTTCACTTTAGAAAACAAACTGGTCTTCCCCACTTGTTTTTTTCACTACAGTAGTACATGTTGGCAGCTGTGAAATCGAACACCTCAGACGATCATTAGGAAACCAATCAATCATACATAAAATAATGCCCCCATATGCCCTGGTATGGCCGAGAGTGGGGAGAGTTAGCTCTCCCTCTCAAAATGCTCTCACATGGCCACACGCATACAACCACTGCCAGCGAAGTCCTACTCACTGGCTTCTCAAGGCGGGGGTGCTTTTTACGAAATTGAGAGGACAAAAAGCGAATGTCCGGTGCTTTAACCGGGTTGGTGGACACGGTAAGTCCACCTAGGGGAGTTGGAAAACCCTCATTCCAAACCAATCGCTCACATGGGTTCCAATATCCTGAAGGAACGAATAGCGTATGGTCACCGGTTACCATGGAATTGCACCTCCTGACGTTGCTCCACTGCCTTGTGGATTAGACCTTCAGGTCGAAGGCTTCGGGTGTAGCCCCCTAAGAAAACCGCCTGCTCCGGTTCGGGTACCTGGTCAGTATCCCAGCCCCTCACACAAACCGAATTATTTATGTGGAACATATCTATTTGGTGCCTTCTCGTACCAAGGTTTATGTGCTTAACTAAATAAAATAAATACCTGGAACAAATATGTATCGGTCCAGGGACGGAATAGTTAAGATCCAAGCGTGATACTTACCCTACGTAGATTGCACAGTACTACCACTAATCTGTCGAGAAGATATAATGTGGGGAGACAGAAAAACTGATTATATGTCAAATATTTAATCTATAAGTGGAGTCAATATCATTAGAGGTCAATGCTAAGAACAAGCTAGTGAGGAGTTCAGCTTTAGTAAAGAGAAAAAGTATAAACAAAGACATCACACGCCAGTACAGCTTTGTTGGTACAGATTTTTACTTTTATGTACTATATCCATATCTTGAAATTGTGAAAAACAAGCTACACGTTTGCATTCTTAAATGCTAACGGCCAAAGTCATGACCTAAATCCCTCATTTATCAAGAAGCAAAAACCACTTTTATACATTTTATACATTTGATAAACGAAATAGATATCAAAACCCAATGATATTTAGACGAAAATGCAGCATTCCTAATCAGTGGATTCAATAAGCACGGTTTGAAGTGAATGACTAGAACTAACTACACAAGTTAAATTCATCAGAGGAGTCCAGAGTAAAACACTAACAAGCAACAAAATAAAATGAAGATACTATAATAAGTATTGGTAAGAAATATCCAGTTAGTTTTTTCCATCTCGAAGTAAAAACCCGATAATCAAAATGCAGTTTGCGGAAAAGATAAAAGATACCCTAATGAAAAAAGACCATTCGAAAGTACAATATTGTAACAATTGATCCCCAAAACCTTATCAACAACTGATATTTGCTAAGACTTCAATTAGTATGAACATGACCAACTATCTAGAATTCTGTTTTTATTGTCAAAAAGTTGCTTCAAGAAAAATTTATAATAAATTGACTGCTTTATATCCAAAACGCTGACATTGCGAAAAATTCAAGGTAGAACGCAGCACTCTTTGAGTTGCAGTAATTTATAAAAGTTGTACACAAAATAATAAATCATACATGTTCACAGTTGTTCAACACTACTGTTGTTTGGAAGATTTACCATGCCGAAGATTTTTAAAAACAGTTATTCGACTGCGAACATCACGATCACCAACACTTTCAGTGTTGCTTGAACTTTGACGAGTTGCTTCTACACGACTTTCTAATAAATCTGGATGAATCAGTATGTCGTCCATATCCATCCGTAAACTCTGAGCCTATAAAATAGAACAAGAACTTACAGTACCATAATTCGCAGATTTGAATTCTAATCCACATGCTGAATAAACTCAATGGCAAAATTTAAATCCTAGAGTCAGTACATAAGTAAATAATGAATCCTTTGAAGCTTGAAAAGCCAGGATTATCAACATTTTTACTGACATGCTTCAGAGAATAGGACATCTATCATCTTTAAAATACTCTTACACATTAGAAATAATACCCACTTATATAAAGCGAACTAGTAAACGAGCCAAACGG